CTAAAATAGCAAAGACGTTTTCCCTATCTATCATACTTGCTGCCCTCCACCAAAAAAAAAAAAAAAAAAAAAAGCTCATTCTCAGAATTCAGACTACAAGTACAGTCGCTTCACTTCCCTGAGCTCTTATCTCTCTGTGAACTCTACCTACTTTCTGGTTCCCAGGGATTCCCGTTTTGCTTCTCTGGAAAGAAATCTGAGGCTTTTGGTGACCCCACTCAGCCACATGTATCCTACAAAAATGCCTGCATCTTAGGGCCAAGTGATGGGGAGGCTCGAAAAAGAAGTGAAGCCATGAGCCTTCCCCCAATCCTGGGACTACCCGCCCCTTCAATCTGTAGGACAGGCCCCCCCACTCAGAGTGTTGGCTCCTCCTGCCTTCACTTCTGCTGCTACCAGGAGATTGCTTGTGGCCTGGGAAGTGAAAGAACAGAGAAAAGAAAAACAGAAATAAAGAACAATGAGGTGTTTGACCCACTCTCTCTGATGGTGAGAGTTCCCTTTAAGCCTGTCCTTCCTTGAGGAAGAGCTGAAGGGCTTCTTCTGGGCTCTCTCTGTCAGCCCTCTGATGCCCACTTCCAGGGTCAGGCTGCCCTGAGTTTGGGCCAAGGAAGTACCAGAAGGGAAGATACAGTAAATTCACTACTGGTTTGGCAGCACTTCAGATTCTGGTCACCCTATTCTGCCTGCTGCTGTTCACTTTTCAGTCCACAGATAGCTGCTTCAGGCATTCTCTCCAGGTTTTGCGCTGCATTTACTGGGAGAGGCCAGGTGGAGTATGCTTACTCCATCCTACCTGGAATCACAACCCAAAATAACCCAAGTAATTTTTTTGAGAAGCTGAACTGAATCTAACAATAGGGAGCTAATAAATTATAATAAATTCATTCAATGGAATACTGTGCAACTGTGATAAAGAATGGACTATTCTGTGTGTGCTGATAAGGAGTGGTTGTCAAGATGTGTCGGTAAGTAGCTTATTAGCTTTATGCTTATATATGCATAAAATAATTCCAGGAATATGCAAGAAATTGATAACCATGGTTATTTCTGAAAAAGAAGGACCAGAAACTGAGAGACAGAGGAGTCAGGGAGACTGATGCCTTTGTGCCATCTGTGTGTTATCAACAGTGGTAGACCAGGCTGCTGCGCAGACACTTCAGTGCAGCTAGGCTGGACGACACATTTAGGAGGTCTCCAGTCAAGGGGACAACTGGGGTGCAGCGCAAGCATTTCATTTTATGGACATAGATGGCCTTTTGAGTGTTGACTTAGTCCTGTCCTCAGGCTGAATGCTATAATAGTCAGCAACTCTTAGCTTCTCTGACCCCAACTGCCGGTCTTGGGGCATGCTGCCGTGAGGGACTAGGGAGGCTGCAGGTGGCCTCAGCCGTTCTCATGAGTTCCTTCTTTCTCTAAATTTCTTATCTGTGAGGTCCACTGTGAACTGAAGAAAACAAATTTAGATGAGGGTTAATCTTTGAACCCTGATTACCCTTTGTGGTCTGGGGCAGCCCACTTGATATTATATAATGTTATGATATGTAAATATACTAAAATATTTCTAGTTTATATATTATACTATTATATATTTAAAGTAATATATAATAACTTCATACATGTATATATATAATCACATACATATATTTGTATGTGTGTGTTTTAAACATACCATCTTTAAGTATTTACCACTGCCTGATCCCTTTCACATTATCTTAGGCATGTGTTTTTATTCCCAGGCTAATTCACCTAAATAAGATTGATCCACATGCTCCAAATGAAATGCTTTATGGACGAATTGGCTATATCTATGCTCTTCTTTTTGTGAATAAGAATTTTGGAGTGGAAAAGATTCCTCAAAGCCACATTCAGCAGGTACCACGTTTTTGTACTTTTTGTAGTCTTTCTAGGATCCCACTATCTGCCTCAATTATGGCTTCATTTCCTAGTTAGCACATCCCAGGTGCCTGGAAGGTAAGGTGTATCTTAACCTCTGAAGGTCAGGCATGAACCGGGAACCAGGAGCTTCACGTAGATTGCTGTTGGAAACAGAGTGACTCAGAGTAAGAAGTCCAGCTGCTCCATCTGAGAATTTGGAGCCCATGCAAAGCTAAGGGCCAGATTTCCCTTCCTAGGTGCAGGTGTCCCATTTGTGCCTGAAGGAGTTTTGCTTTCCTTTGACAGGTGAATTTTTGTGAGAGGTAGTGAAAAGAGTTCAGAATCTTCGGGAGCGTCCCTCTGTTAGGCAGAATAGCCATATGTGCTTTTCTGACTACAAAATCAAACTGTGCCCATCCGTGGCCATAAGATGGTGTCTAATTTGCCATGTTCCCCAGCACCTCTTAGCAAAAAGTTCTTTACCTCTATTCTGGTTCTTTCCTTATTTCAGTTGGTTTTCTCCCACTAGATTTGTGAAACAGTCTTAACCTCTGGAGAAAACCTAGCTAGAAAGAGAAAGTTCACGGACAAGACTCCACTGATGTATGAATGGTACCAAGAATATTATGTGGGGGCTGCTCATGGCCTGGCAGGAATTTATTACTACCTGATGCAGGTAAGAGGTGATGATGGTGAGACTGAAATGTGCATCCTGACAGTGCCTGCTAGGAGGAGAAGACAGGTGCTCCAGCTCTAGTTTTCATTCTGTCCACAACTGTATCACTCCCCTGGTAATTACATGGCCTAAACAAACAAGAGCAACGTTTGCCGAGGTGCATGTAAAGTGTGCACATGTAAAGGCGCTGCACTTTGAGATGATGCTTGAGTCGTAGATGACCATGCTTGCCTACCTCGTCCAGTTGTGCAGACTACGGTGTTTCGACCTCTTCCTCCATGTGAAGTGCCCTTCTGCTCTGCTCTCTCGGCAGATGCCTCGTGTTAGTATTACTCCACATTATAAGGCACAACCCATGAACAAATTCCAGGAGTAAGAACAAAATCAATAGAAAACCCAAGAGGATATGCTGCCTAAAGCTCACTCAGAGAGCAAAGCTAAGGAGCTTTTTCAATGGATTTTGTAACTTACATGAAAAATAGCTGAATATGCTATGCCCAACAGTATGTTTATGGTATTAAAACTATAGGAAACTTCTCTTACATTCTTAATATTGGCTTAGGAAAATTATTTATATGTATGTAGATAACAATAAATACTGAAAAATAATACATACATAAGGCTCCAAGTGTTAACTGAGAGCCTAATTTTAGTTTGTTCCAGTAGCTGAAAAAAATGGGTAGAATCCAAAACCTCTTAATGACTTTAAACTCCCTTCGGTCATGTTCTCTTTCTGGTTTAAAACTCATCCCTGAGGCTTGGGAAGGTCTGTTTGCTTCAACAGAACTAATAATTCTCTTTCTCATTTTTAGCCCAGCCTTCAAGTGAGCCATGCGAAGTTACACAGTCTGGTCAAGCCCAGTGTAGACTATGTCTGCCAGCTGAAATTCCCTTCTGGCAATTACCCTCCCTGTGTGGGCGATACTCGAGATCTGCTAGTCCACTGGTGCCATGGTTCCCCTGGGGTAATCTACATGCTCCTTCAGGCCTATAAGGTACTACGAATTTTCTCATTTTAGAAATAAATTGGAAAACATAATATAAAATTCTGTAATTCAATTAATTTTTATATAATCCTTGATATATTGAGATATACATATATATATATATCACTTGTTGGACCTAAAATCACTTTGCTAGATGGATTATAATTCACTCTGACAGTATCCATCTGCACCATAGCAGACATTACTTCATAGAACAGGAGCCTGCCTCGCTGACAAGTAGAGTAGCCAAGATTATAGATAGCATCAGTGGCCAAGCCAAGATAAGCATCCAGGGAGCTTAATTAAAAATAGAAAGAGTTCTCCTTGTGCATTGCTGTGGTCATGTGCTACAGAAAGCAGTTTGGCAGTTCCTCAAAAAATTAAACATTGAATTAACATAGGATCCAGCAATTGCACTCCTAGGTATATGTCCAAAAGAAGTAAAAACAAGGATTCAAACAGATGCCTGTACACCAGTGTTCCATGGCAGCGTTATTCACAGTAGCCAAAAAGTGGAAACAGTCCAAGTGTCCATCAGCAGATGAGTGGACAAAATATGGTGTATATGCAAAATGGAATATTATTCGGCCATGAATAAGAACAAACTTCTGATCCATACTACAATATGCATGAGCCTCAAAAATATTATACCAAGTGAAATAAGCCAGATACAAAAGGACAAATACTGTAATATTCCACTTCTATGATGTGATGTTTAGCATGAGGTATCTAGAACAGGCAAATTCATAGAGAAAGAAAGTAGAATAAAAGTTACTAGAGGCTGGGGGCAGATGGGGAGGTAGATTATTGCTTAATGAGTACAGAGATTCTGGTTTGGATGTTTGGAAAGTTTTGGAAATAAATAGTGATAGTTATACAACACTTTAAATGTAATCAGTGCTACTGAATTGTACACTTTAAATGATTAAAATGATAACTTTTATATTATGTATATTTTACCATAATAAAAAATGCAAATGCCACTTCTTAAAAGCATTCTAATGGAAAAGCCACAATCAAAGAAGAAAAGGTTTTTATTTGAGGGGAATAAATGGAAGTAAGCCAGGTATCTATGGTCATTGATGCCAAATCCACAAATTTTAAATCTATAGACTGTAAATAGGCATCTCATAGTCTAAATAACCTCTTAGTATTTTTGCTTTCAGAAAGTTTTATATATTGGAAACACTTAAAACTGTCTTATTCTACTTAGTTTATAGTGAGATATTAAAAATGTCTACTCAGAGAAAATATTTCTCAAGTCTTTGATCAAAATATAGGAGTCCACAATAGATTGTAAAGGTGTACCTCTTTTTCCAACAAAGTATAATGTTTTTAATCCAATCAGTTTTTATAATCAATTTTATAAACACTTTCTTCTCCAGTATGTAAAGCAAATTCCTAATAGTGAAGGGCATCATGTTACAGAGAAGGCAGTGGAGTGTATTTTGGAAAGTGACTAATGATAACAGCAGATTGCAAGTAAAATAAGGCAACTTCACCAACGACACCCACGTACACCAGCACGCGCGCGCACACACACACACACACACACACACACAAAACTCAGACCATGCAGACAAAGCCATGCCCAGTTTCATATTTAAAAACAAATAAAGCAAAGCTAATGAATTACTGCAGTTTGTCCCCACTGATATAATGCATCTCTCTGGCTCTAAACTCCTTATCCTTTCTTGCCAAGCCACCTGCCTCCTTCCTCTCTTACCTTGTCTCTCTTCCTCTCCTATCAGGAAAGAATGTCAGTAGACATTTCTTTTATACCCCCTGTAATAAAACTGTGTCCCTTAACTATGCAGGTGTTCCGAGAGGAACGCTATCTCAACGATGCCTATCAGTGTGCCGAAGTGATCTGGCAGCACGGGCTGCTGAAGAAGGGGTACGGGCTGTGCCACGGCGCTGCAGGGAACGCCTACGCCTTCCTGACGCTGTACAACCTCACACGGGACGCCAAGTACCTGTACAGGGCCTGCAAGGTAGGAGGCAGAAGCACCCAAAAGAAGGCAACTTCGCCCAGGAGGGTGTGGAAGGGTCTCTGATGAATCTGATTTAATTCATTTTTTTTAAACCATAAGTCTATAGAACAAACACAGTTTAAGCAAACCTTCAAAGCTATTCAGTTGAATTAGCTTTTTTTGTTAAAAAAGGATATAATTCTACTCAACAGCGTTTATGGAGATGTAGGGTGGTTTTGTCCCTTTCTTTCTCCTTTGACAACCTTGGACACATGGCTCTCCTTTGACAACCTTGGAGACGTGGCTCAGACAGCTCATTAAATTCCTCCCATGCTTCATACTCTCTTTTAGTCCAGCTGTTTCTCTGCATTAACCCCTTTCCCTGCTATGGGGATAGTTTTTTACTTTTCAGAGTAATTCTTAGGGACAATCACTCAATTTTTGGGGGTCTGTAGAAGAAATCACTTCAGTAATTTAACTTGGTCTCATTTTCAGTTTGCTGAATGGTGCTTAGATTACGGAGAACACGGATGCAGAACACCAGATACCCCCTTCTCCCTCTTTGAAGGTATTTTTCACACATTGCTTGGTTGCCTTTTAGTATCAACATTTGCTTCTCTGCTTAGGAATTAATGTATTTTTGTATTTTAGTTTTATCAACAAATTAATTTTATAGTTATTTCTTAAACTACTTCTTTATTTCCTAATACGATAACTCAGTATTCACAATCAGTTAGCGCATGGACCACCACAGACCCAGTACTAGGATTCATTATGGTAATTACTGTTTGTAGAGCCAGGGACTTGCTGGGCATTTTGCAGATGTCATCATAAATCATCTTAGCAAAAACATACATTATTATCCTCATGTCACACAGGTGAGGTTTCTTAGGCTCAGACAGGTAAGTAGGGCCACAGTGAAGGAGCTCACATAATGGTAAACGGCAGGGCTGCGCCTTGAACTTGTCTGGGTCCACTCTCCCTCCTGTCTTCCTCCTGGATAAAGAGGCTGAGCACCTCACTAGTGATCTCCTCTAATGTTGAGCTGCACCGTATATAAATATAAACAGATGCCCACTTCATTCAAATCATTTACATTAATATCGTTCATGCCTCTATGTATCACTTTGTGTAATAACTTGTGCCTGTTTCTTTTCATTCAGGAATGGCTGGAACAATATATTTCCTGGCTGACCTGCTGGTGCCCACAAAAGCCAGGTTCCCTGCATTTGAACTGTAAAAAGAAAGTCCGCCCCCTGCGACTCACTGCATGCGCCTTTCTGTGTATCAGACCTGGGCTAAAGTGTTCATTGCTTTTCAAGGAACAAGAGTCAAACTGTGTACTTGATTTAGTTGATTTTTTCCTCAGAATTTGTCATTAGGTCAGTTCCTTTTTTATCATTTACTTTTACTTTAAAGTATCCAAGGAATGCTTAATTAACTTTAATTTCATTCTTCTCCTAAAGAGAGGATAGGCGATATGTGTACTATTTTGAGGGCATATATGTATCTATTTCAGACCTTTGAGGCAACCGTATTCTTACTTAAGCTTATAAATATAAACGTCTGTCACTATTCTAAAAATGTTTAGAAGAAACTAAATGTAAATGAAGATAAATACGTGATTATTGTTGGATGTTGTCCTCCACTTCTTCTCTTTAGTATTTTTTATGATAGTTTATGACTTTGCTTTTCTCTAGGTGGTTGATTATGAAAGGGGACAAAAATATGACTCTGTGCTTCCAGGGCAAATACTGAAAGAGTTGCCAACTGGGCTAGGGACCTAGACACCATTTTTCAAATTCACAATGCTTATTTAAACTAGAAGTAAACACACTTTTTGAGATTTGCCTCTTTGTTAGCAGAGCATCCAGGCTCTGTAATCCAACATCTTTATCAAAAACTTCTGAAATGTGATGGTCATTGTGAAAATTCTGATTTGAAGATTAGTTCAAGATAAGCTGACAAAAACAGGTTATTGTTTTCTCTAAAATAAGCTAGTGTGTTTTGGAACTACTTACATACATTTATTTGTTCTCTGGAATTAATATAAGATCAGGAAATGAGTTTTCTATGTGTGAATAAGTTGTGACCTAGGATTTGAGTCCACCCTGTCTAACTGACCTTCTAAACTTTGACTTGTGTTAGTTACTAACTTTGCAGTGACTATGCTTTGTAAAATGCTGGCTGCTTGGCACAAGCCCTAAGATATGTCCTGCCTGTCTATCTAGATAACAGTCTTTTCACTAATTAGGAAAGCGTTCTACTTCTGTTTAAAATGGGAGAGGGGTGCTATATAGTCAGTAACCTCAACAAAAACACTGAAGCTTTGATATAAATGCTGTTTATGAGGAGGTATTATCCAGTGATCACACTTAGAACAAATGGATCCTGTCTCTTTGCATATTCTAGGCTTTAACATTCATCCATTTCTGAGCCTTCAGGATTGGGCATTTATGTGGTAGATGAAGAATCCGTGGTGCTTCAAATTCTGTACAAATGTTTTGGCTCATCAGCCCCCATTCCTCCTCCTGCCAATGCTGACTTTCCCAGGCTTGTTTATAGTCTGTGTGTTTTGACTGATTTTGGAACATCTTGCAACTTTAAAAAATGAGGTCTAAGAATTTTAAATGTGCCTATTTTATGGCTCCCTCAGTCACAAAAACATGCTATTTTTATTGGAACTTTGAACCAAATCCC